ACTGTCGTCTTTTGAAGTGTGACTTCCCCTTGCAAAAAGATTTTCTTTTGGATGAAAAGGTGCAAGATTTCGTTGAGATCGCACTAGCAAGTCCAATGGTCAAGAATTGGTATTCACTTTCTTGACAGCAGGCAGTGTAATGCATCTGTGAATCAGTGGTACTTGTGAGAAGGTAAACGGCCGCTAGGGCTGCCGAGACAGCTGGCGGAAACACATCAAACAGGCGCAGTTATTAAGTAGAGGTTTTTCAGCATCAGACCGAGGGTTTTGGCTTAGCTACAGCATGGTATGGGTGCACCCCAATGATCAGGCTAGCATCGAATTCCCGGCCTTTTCTTGGTAACTTTTGCAAAAAGACAAAAATCAATGAAGCGGATGACAGTAACTACGCAACAAAATTTACAAAAGCAACTGCGTTTTAACAGGAGAGTGGCTATGATGCTTGGAGAAACACTCCCAATCGCACTTTGCCATTTTGAAAATATTCTAAAAAATTTGTTCCTCACAAATTAGCACGCCAAATCAATATCAGGAGTATTTTTAGCATTTCACTGCAGGTTGCACGAATCACTGCCGCAAGCAGCACTAATGGATGGTGTTCCGGCTGTTCCAGGTGTTATTGGTAGCTTGCCTGGTGCTGGTGGTTGTTTACCACATCGAACACCGCTTGTAAATCAACGCTCACCAAGCTTGTTCCAGAATTTCCTTCGTTATATTCCCGGAGCGCAAGATTACCTTTCCAGTCTCGTTAAGACACCTAACATTGATCTGCATTCTTTGTTAGGGAAATATTACTGGGTGAGAGTTTTTGAAATCTTTTTAGTCATTTTTCACAGGGGAATTTTACATTTGAAATCACCACCACTGAATACTCAAATCGATCCAGAAAAGCGCGGTCTCTTTGCTTTGTGATTTTGATATCTTACAATTCAACTTATTTTCCGAGCGAATTCCCGCGAAGTTGTCATGCAAGTGATGATCATTCGCCATTAGATGCTGTACTGGATCTTGCGCAATAGCTTCAAAACCTGTTGAAGTTTAAACTAACCTTGCTACCAGCGTCTGCTCCTTTTTATGCGTTTTTGCCTATATGCAAATTGCAAAAACGCATATTGGGACGACCCTGTC